AAGAGAGCGGCAGCCACCACAGCTTTTCCTGGGCCCCCTGCCAGCTGATGCATCCAACATATGGATAGCATATGTTTAGTCAACAGCAGTGCAGCAACTCACTCTCCTTGGGCCACCACTCCAGCAACCCAGATCTGCAGGAAAATGCATGGCCATCGCTGGGAGTGCTTCGCAGTGCTCTGAAGCGTTACATTTACAGCCGCACCTGGATCTCTGTTGCAGCTCGTTCTGCAGTCCAGAGCTTCTGTGGTTTAAAAAATATCAAAGTAAGCTTTCTGATATTTTGCCAAGAGGGAGTAGTGGGTGGGTGGGAGGGTAAGCGGCAATAGGATGGTGAGTGCTGAACAGCGTGGGAGAGCTCCTGGTTATGGGAGAAAAGTTATTTCAAGCCAGCCAAAGCTTTCCAGCTGTTTGAAGGTAGCATAATTACTTTGTAATTTCCCCTTAATTTCCAACATTTTTTGTTGTGGGATCTCCACCCCTTCCTTGGAGTTTAGACTGAGTAAAGTCGGCATACCCTGAATAGCACACTGTTGCAGAAATGAGAAAGCGTTTCCTGTAACTTTAAACCTGGTAAAGCAAGGGATCTTGTCCTGTAAGGTAAATTCTGTATTCAGAAGTACCTAGAATTTTTTTTTACATCCCAATGAATTGTTCTGACAAAAATATGTGGCTAATAGATCCCACATTTTCCCTTAATTCCTGGGACTTCACATTTGAAATTGGTACTGTAATAATGACAGGATTAACAGTGTTCTGGCAACAGCTGGTTTGTACTCTGCACATACCCAAGCTGTGGGCAGAAGAGTGTTTATTCCTGCAGGTCTCTTCCTTCTCCCACTGAAGTAAGTACCACAAGTACCACAGACTTAAGCAGGATTGGGCGCTAAGCAAGGATACACCAGGATTGCTTATCCATATCCCATATATTAAACAGATTAATTGAATGTTGAGATTTTCTGTTTCCTAACAGTTTCAGACTAAAGCAATTGCTGTTGGAGGGTTCTGGTAGAATGTCTGTGTAATTCCTTAAGGTGGAAAAATCTTCAACTACTCGATCTGTTTTGATTAACATGGCAGGGGAGTACACGCAGTACAGAGATTACTCCTCAGGTGGTAGAATGTATAATGCTATTTCCTGCTACCAAGAGCTCTGGGGAAGCAAGCTTATCCCGAGATTTATAAAATAAAAATAGCACTAGATCTAGAAGACTCACCTTCTTTCAGACTGCTTCTTCAAAATCGGTAAAAGTGCCTTTAGTCTATTGTGCATTCATATCACACAGTGTGACAACAGCTCAGTTCTGAAAGGGGCTGCTCACTGAATTCAATGCCTTCAGAACTGATACTGAATGCAATTGCAGATGTGTCTTTCTCATCTATCAGCAGATAGACCTTGAGGAATATTAGTGCTGGACTCCTTTAAAAAACATGTCTGGGAAGTTTTCAAAGTCAGTATTATGGCTCTTCTATTACCGAGGGTGCCAACAAATTTTCCAACAAGTATACTCAAGATCAGCCCTTCCTCCAGCACCAAGTCTAGTCAGGGCTCTGTGCACCACTTGAGCAAAGTGTTAGAGCTTGCAATGTAGCGGTTTCATATGACTACAACTAAATCAGGAAGTGCTGAAATATTAGATAAGCTGTCCTTGTATTGGTAATTATAGCCAAAACCTAAGTCACCTTTAACCTTATATTTGGTAAACTCAATGGAATGGACTTCTGTTACTGCTCTCTGCAGCTCAGGTTTTTCCATACCATGAATCATTCTTGTCCCTGTTTGCTGAATTTTCCAGGCTTTCCAACATCCTTTTTAAAGCAGTATTATATTATAATAGCTGTCTAACTAATGGTATATACAGATGTAGTGTCACCTTCCTACTCATTCATTCAAGAACTCTGCAAATGCTATTTGCAACAGGATTGTGCTGGAGCACTTCCTCAGTCCTATGCAATGGCCCTTAGATGTTGGCTGGAGTCAGAGTTTTCCAAGTCGGGTGTTGCATCATCCCATGGTTGACATTCTTTGCCTCTGGCCTAGGACATGGCTTACAGTCTGTTGAGCAAGTGCACAGTAGAGCTGGAGAGTACAGGTGGTTTCTTCCAAGACCACTTGTCAATTGAACTTTGAAAATGGGATGGAAAACACTTACTGTTTGGTGCAGTAGGATCTAAATTAAAATTACACCTTTCCCTGTAAACTGCCCCCTCTTTGTCTGTAAGATATAATTTACTCTAAGCCTCTCCACATTTCTCCCATTATTTTCCCAGACAGTGGCAACGCTGCATTCAGGCAGCTGTCAAGGTCTTAAGAGATTACTGGATCACATTGATTTTTTTAAGGCCAATACTTTCCTTTGCCAAGTAAGTGGATGTTCTGGGAACTCACTTAAAGATGCTGATTTACTAAATGCATCTCTTTTACCTGGAATAACTGCTAAACAAATGAAAACATTTTTGTGAAACCTAAGGAATTGGTCAGTAAGGTTTCTAAAATCTTTCTGATTTAGTTACAGTACAGTGTAATGCAGAATGGTACTATCAGTTTTGTCACACAGACAAATGGGAGACTACATCCCCATTATCTTCAAGTGACTCCTAGGTTCATTTCAGGATCCTTTTTCAGAATGGGTGCTGTTTTCAGATCTCACTACAGTTTTGTTCCAGTCTGCTTCAGGGACCATACCCCTGAACCCAAGCACTGCTTTGCTTTCTGTTCCTCTACATAATTTTCTATCACCAATGCAGACTTCCCCTGCGGCGCTTGCTGCTGGAAGCAGGTTTTCTGTAGTGCTCTGTACCTCCTCAATTCTCTAACCTGTTTCAAGAGTCATCCTAGTAAACACCGACAGGCCCTTCATTTAATCCTTCTTTTCTCCTCTCCTTCTGTTATTAATTTTTACATAGTTTTTCACATTATCAGCCCATCATAGTAAGGTTTTATTTTCTTACATGCCTGTAATATAGTCAGGGACTTAGTCATAGAACATTCAAAAGATGTCATATAAAATAAAAGTAAATTATGCCATGGTACTGCACACTGATCAGCTTTTAAAAGAGTAGGTACAAAATATCATTCCATAATGAAATATTCAATTGTAGGGAGATTAAGGAGCAAATGATTTGAATAAGAGAGACTTTTTCCTAGAGAAAGGTGACTGTACTTGGCATCTTTAGTAAAAAATATGAATTACGTTGTAGTAAAGATAAGGGCTGGCGACCGGAAGATCACGCGATGTACGGAAAGAGTTAAGGGTTAACCCTCCCTTGTCTCCGCCCCTTATAACATAACACGCCTACTGCTGAGAGCATAAAGGTAAACTACTGCGCAATAAACGAGGAAGCTGAACACCCACACTGTGTGTGCTGACTGTTCCTTCCCCAGCCCGGGTCGGCTGGAGA